CTAAGTTTGGAAATGGTTATATCCTCGATATGAACGGTAGTCTCACGCTCCCAATGCATGGGTTCATCCCGCTCTATACAAGATAATCCAACAAAATTAGAAAATAATCTCAAAAAATCAATGAGATTTGTGTTGTGTGGGCCCCTGGGGACTAGGATTGAGCTCCCATTTTATTTAGCAATTTTCACATAACAACCTGAATTTTTGACCACTGAAGTAACCGCGATAGGCCCAATTTTTTTTGCTCTGCCCGTGATTAAATTTTTCTGAGCTTGCGAGTTGGTGGATAAAACGATAGATTTGTGTTCCAAGCTCCATTTTGAAATTGATCTTACGGAGGGTGGATTGTTTAATTTCCAAAATAACCACCTCATTTTTCTTTACAACAAATCTGAATGTCTTTGATTCAATGTTGATTGAATCGTAGCATTCTTCTCCATAAAAAAGGAACTTTTCAGATAAATCATGTGTGGAGGCCATACTTGATTCAACGGGGTCCAAAACTTTGATTGACTTTTCCTTTAATACAGTAGCCTCCCCGATATATGAAAGGGGGTGGATATCTCTATCTGTAAATTTGTCCGAATTGGACCGTACGACTTCAACCCATGTGAGGCTTTGGATAGACACTGGCCTCCGTGTCTCTACGAGGTACAGGTTGTCGGAGTGGGGGGTGTCAGCCGCTGGACCTGGCGCTGAGCAGGATGGGCCGTCCAAATTGGGTTTCTCCTTTCTGCACCCGTCGCCATGTTCTGGTGGTTTATCGCCGCAGAGGCGACAAATTATTTTCCCCTTTTTTTTGTTTTGAGGTCGGTTAGTTCTCATTCGAAAGGTATGGTTGAGATAAGATCGTCATCTTCAAAAGACAGACGGTGGAAACGATTAGCCCTACTAGGGAGTCGTCAGGAGGCATACCTGTCATTTTTGGGGTAACAGCTTTGAGTCGGCGAATATCTCTGATTGGGAGGAAATAATTTGCATCGTCCCCTATAGGTGACCGTCCGCCATCCTTCATCTGTTTCCCCAGGCCGTAGATCGGAGAGCGACCTTCCTTTTCTTTTAAAAGGCTTAGACCTTTTTTGAGAGCAAATATTGATTGATGCACAGTTGTGTATTGGGATGGTAGGCTGTAATCGTTTTGAGTGTAGTGCTTTACGCGATGAGCAGGAGTCTCGTTGGTGCTATTTGGATAGAATCTGGCTCTATGCCAGTGATGAGATATTTGTGGTTTTTGGAAGCAAGTGCCTGTTGTAGATGAGGTTGCTCTCGTCGGGAGTCTGCTAAATGTTGGCCGTGATTGGAGTTTGGTATTCCCTTTAGGCAGTTGATAGCTATCTCCGCTATTCCGGTCGAAGCTGTTGGATTCGTAGAAACGTTTCCCTGGATAGTAGTAGTACTCATCATCGAGAGGCAAATAGTTATTCTGACGTGGTGGGTGCCGAAGTTCCATAGTTGAACTCAAGAAGAAACTAGAATTTTAGAGAGATGGAGAATTTTTATTCATTTTAAGTGGGATCCTCATAAATGTACTGTCACAAACGTGACATTTTTTTCAAATAACCAATAATTTTGACATTCTCATATCGTAAAACTGACATTTTGCCGAGTAAATAAAATTCAAAATATCGAAATTAATAAATAAAATTCAAATTTAAAAAATACAAAGAAGAGAACCAGAAATTTAAGAGGACTGGAAGGAGAGGAGGAAGAGGAGGAGGAGATTATCTACCAGTCATCATTCAGTGTAGGGTTACGGTCGATGATGGAGCTACGATGTGAGGCCACGGTGGATGGTGGAGCTGCAGACCATGGGAGGAAGGGATGTGCTGCGATGAATTGCAGTCGGTCAGTCGAGAGTGTTGCGGTGAATTGCAGGAGACTGAGACGTGGGGTTTTAATTAAATCATAAGTAAAAGTGTAATCTTTCGTCCTATTAAGGGAAATTAAACTTAAAGTTCTCTTTTGGAATTTAGACAACACTTTTAAACTTGTTTTTGTATTTGCTCATAATAATGCGTTTCAACTTGTATTGGGATGAGACTTGAACGTGTGATAACCTCTTTGAGAGATTAACAGTGTTGTCATCGAACTACAATTTATATATTTGTTAGAGCTGTGTTGCATTATTCGCTGAGTTTTATTAAACTCGTCAAATAGGCAAATAGCAATTAGAAGTGATATAGATGACAATTATTCTACTTGGATGCTCAATTTATCTTCATATAAAGGACAAAACCCGATTCATTTATGCTTGTTTTAACATTAGCCAATATTATAAGTTGAATACTACGGAGTACATTGTACTATATTCGATCATAATTGGTAGCATAACCACATCCTCTTATACTAACTTATAGACTTCAACATTTACTTTCAATATTCCACATATTATGCTCTGGACTCTGGAGTAACATTTATTATACGATGATCACGTTTCTCTTCTTATTGCATACATTAGGTTGAGCTCAAAAATTTATCTAACAATGTTTGACAATGATTCATTAATCTTTGACTATGAAGCTACAGAAAAGCTACCAAGGAGACTGAGCCTTGAATATCATCGTGGCGGACTGAAATTCATTTACGCTGAATGAGTGAAATTAATTGAAGAACATGATGAAGAACATGCCTAAGTAATTTCATAAAAAATTCCACCGGAAAGGGCCCCAAACAGGTTCGGCCGGACGGCGGTTCCCATCAGGGCGACCTGGCATGAAGTTTCACACACACACACATCTCGTTCATGTTATGACGTCCTGATCGGAACCCTCGTGCGGACAACACCATCAGAGCGTCTTCCCGATTATTTTTTTTGATGAAATGTTTTGAGTATGTTCCTCATCAAGTCTAGTTTATGCATACCAAATTTCAATTCAAAATTCAACTGGGAAGGCAGTTAAACAATTTTTTGAAACATACTGCGTTTTATATACGTACAAAATGTGCTGTAAGAGAAGAGCCGCCATTTGGAGTGACGGCTTTCATTAACCATGATTAACCCAACAATATTTTGGGAATTGTTTTTAAGCCAATAGTATTTTAAGAATTACTCTCTCCGTCCCTTAAAACTTTGTCACTTTCTCTTTTAAGTAAAGAATTTGTGGTTTCAGTTAATTCTCTATCCTCTGCACAAACCTCAATCATACAGTTTTTACTTTATTAATCCCGTGTCGGTCAAACTTGACAAAATTTTAAGGGACGAAAGGCGTATTTATTTAATTAAAATTATTTCCGGAAAAAACTCTATTAGAAAATACTACGTAGCTAATCTTACTGAACGCGTATACTGTACGGCCGGCTGTACAGTGATCACTGTACAGCCGGTGGCAAAATTGTAATTTTTGTGAAAATCACGGATTCTCCTAAATGAGCATTTATGCAACTTTGATGAGCATCAATCATGTTCTTTTGAGTATTAGGAGCCTAACGGTGAGAATCAGTGATCTCTGCTTCAAACCTTATATATCACTTTTGGTTTATTATTTTTTCGTTTAGTACGATACATTTGAAATGTTCAAATTTTAAAATGAGCATACATAACTTACAAGTTAATATCAAATAACTAAAAGGTTCATTTGTGTGTGCTCATTCTTTTTGAGCGTTATACTCATTTGAGTTTAACATAAAACTCATTTCATTTAAAATGAGTATTAAGCAAATATCAAATGAGTATACATAAATTACGGCAAATTATACCGTGCAACCGGCGCACCATGAGGATGGTGCGCCCGGTTGCAAAACGACGCAACTGCCCTCTTTTTTTTTGCTTTTGTTGTTTAAAAAGGATGATAACTTTCTTATTTTTGATCCGATTTTTACTTTTCATGATCTTTCAAATGAGACCAATATTGCTTATGTAATGTTAAGAAATTATCGAACTATTATATTAATGAGTATTGGATTATAAGGAAAATCGAATCTGTTAGGGAGATGATAGGTTTGTGAAATAGAAGATTGAATCTGTTTGGGAGTGGATCAGTGGCCTCAGTTACATTTGATAATACATTGAGTTACATCTTTTTATGAACGAGTTACATCTTTTTTATAAGCAAGTTACATCTTTTTATAAGCAAGTTACATCTTTTTATAAGCAAGTTACATCTTTTTAAAAGCGAGTTACATATATATAAACACGAGTTGCATTTGACATGCCTGAACGCGACTTACATATATTTACACGTAAAGTTACATATTTTTACACGTAAAGTTACATATTTATACACGCGAGTTACATATTTATACACACGAGTTGCATTTGACCTGTCTGAACGCGAGTTACATATTTTTTTACGTAAAATTACATATTGTTACACGTAGAGATACATATTTATACACACGAGTTGCATTTGGCCTGACTGAACGTGAGTTACATATTTTAACACGTAAAGTTACATATTTTACACACAAATGTTAATATGTTAAAATTACATAGGCAATATTGGTCTCATTTGAAAGATCATGAAAAATAAAAAATGTTGATATAAATTTTATAAAAATCGGATCAAAAATAAAAAAGTTATTACCATTTTTTAAAAACAAAAGGAAAAAAAAAATATCCGTATACCGGTATACGATGCTCGCCGTATACCGGTTGTACGGTATAGGCACTCATAAATTACAAAATGAGCAATCATAAAACTCATTCGAAATGTCTATTTATGCTCATAATTTCATTTTTTATAAAAAACTGTGGCAGCCCATGTAGCAGACCAGTAATTAGCAGAGACGGAAAAATAGAGTGTGAAGAATAGGAATCGCTCGCAGGGGTAGAGCTGTCTCTGCGTCGGCTAAGAATCTCAATCGTGACTCGTGAGTTGCACTTGGAAGCTTGGCTATCGGCGATCTGCGTTCGTGAGTTGCACAAGACTTTCGATCTGCCGTCCTTCGTCGTCTTGATCGGTGAGTTGAAGGGCTAAATCGCGAGTTGCATGGCTGAATCCGGGAGATTTAATTACAAAAAAACGCTTTTGTAGGGTGAGCCTACGGCCGGCCGTATTTTACCAATCTTACTCCCCGTTTGAGAATTCTCCTCTTTGTTGACCACCCCTAAAAATCCTAAAATCAGGAGTCCTTTGCTTTGTTTGACTATTGCTAGCACCTGGAACCCAGTTGGGAAGAGAACGCGTAATTGAGCTTGTTACTCTTGAATAGAAGAAGGGAGGGAGATGTCACTGGTCGATTATGCATCGTCTGATTCGGATGAAGAAGAAACGGAGCTTCAGGAACCATCTCAGGGCCAAATTCTGCAAAAGCAAGTGAAAGCAGACATCTCACATGCTATGGTTGCTCCAATAGAGGACTCACCCCTTCATCGTATCCAGAAAAGGTAATGGCCCCTTCTCTCGAAGGAATTTCCCTTCATCTGGTTAAAAAAAATCCTTGCAAACTTCGATAGGGTTTGTTACGTTCTATTTTTTTATTGTGGCAGGATCATTTGTTATTTTACAATCAAATCATTTCTTATTAATTACGAGCCTTATTATCCTTTCCTTTTAAATTCCTAAGCAAACAAATTGATTGTGATAGTTACAATGTGCGAGGGATTAGTGGTGGTGGTGCGAGAATCTGTGGTTTGTTCTATGCTGATACTTTTTATTTCTCATAAACGATTATTCAAGAAGAACTGAACTATATTGAATAATGAAATCAGCCCTATCTGGCAATTAATGGCTTGTTTTAGTTGTTTATGATATTATTATTATATGTTTGCAGTTCCTAGTTTGATTTACATTTTATTTAGTCGTTGTATTATACTATTATTAATCGGAGAGTACCTTGCCAGTTAGCTCTGTTCTATTTTTCCGAGTTACTCGCCGAGTACTCGGTGATTTCCTTAACTAGTTGACAAGTTTGACTCACCGAGTTACTCAGCAACTACTATATTTTCTTTGGTCAAGTCAAAAAGTTTAAACTAAATTGTGATACTATAGAATTTAAGTAGTGTGTGGGTATGGAGGATGAAGAACAAAATGACGGCCTTGAATGGTTGAACCCAATGAAGGTTACTTCAGACAAAATTATTAAATGATTGATTTTCTTGGAAACTTAGAATGGTTTTGCTACTTCATTATGATTTTCGAATGTTTTATTCCTACCTAATAATTAAAAGACTGATATATTACTAGATCTCTGGGCATCTATATTTTTAAATGATTAATACAGGGCCGAGTAATCACCAAGTCATCCCAAGTACTTGGTCCTACTCGCTACTTGGCCAATGACCGAGTTGGCACCGAGTAGCGATTTAACTACTTAGTTTAGTGGTTTATGCTGAGATGTTTGGTAATGGCTATTAGCTGTTCAACTTTATAAAGTACTACTCCGTCCCATAAAATTTTTCCCACTTTGACTTGACACGGAGATTAAGAAAGTAGAAATGTATGATTGTGGTTGTGTAAGAAAAAGGTGAAATGAATGTGAACCACACAAATTGTCCAAAAATGGTAAGTGGGAAAAATTTTTTGGGACGGCTCAAAAAGGAAAGTGGGAAGAATTTTATGGGACGGAGGGAGTATAAAGTAAGATGCTTATTCAATAGGATTTCCATAAAGCTATCCACATAAGTTTTTAAATGAAATTTTCTTTTACTTTAGCTAATTTTGTACTTGATACTTGATAGGCTCGTTGCCGAACAGTAAAAATCTGCCCAAGGTGAAGTAGGTTATTTATACTCTTTATTTGATGCTGTTCTTGCTTCTCAGTTTTTAGTGGTTACTTTTGTTCACTTCTGTAGCAGAAGTGAAGAGTCACCTTCAAATAAGCAAATATTGGAGTCCACCCATGCATCTGAACCATCCGAATTAAAGCTTCCAGATGCCTCATTCCTCTTGAGTTCGCCTTCATTGCCAACACATCTAGGAGATTCATCTGATCATTCTTTCCGAGTGGCAGCGGCAATGGTTGAAAACGCAACAAGGAAGAGAGACTTAAATGGACCAGAATCAAGCAGTTATCCACGCAGTAAAGTTCCAAAAGGTCCATTGCCACATACAAAGAGTTTTCTTGACACTGGAGGTGGTCTTCTACTTCCACCTCAACTTACTGGGAGGTGAGTTTGAATGTTTGATACTGAAATAGCTTTTATAATTTCATAGAGCATTGGGCATGGTTTTATTATTGCCCTATGAAAATGTACCTTTTACTATAAAGCTGTCTACCACTAGGAAACATTTTTTCTAGAGTTCGGTCATTGTGTCTGCTATAAATTTCAACCCTTTTAGAGATTATGCAATATATAAAAATACAGTTCATTAGATATTCTGTAAGCATATTGGAGTGAAACTCATACTCTAGTAATTGAATAATAAGTAAAGGAAAAGTTATTGCACTGTGCACTACCTACAAAATGTAGGAAAATTTTGGAAGGAAACAAGAGTGAGGGAATTAGGGAATTCTTAATAAATTGCTCAATAAATTCTTATTTGATATTTTCTTGCATTTTCAATCGTTAAACCAAACACAAGAATATAAATTTTCATATTATTTTTTCCCTTTCGTTAACATTTTCCAGGATCTAGAGTTACCAAACGGTATGCATGTCTTTCTGTTGTCTCTTTTCAGTTAGGCTGCATGTGTAATATTCTTTATGTGGCTGATTGCATGCCTCCTATACCTACCCACCTTGAGCAGGGCCTTTTATGTTCAACTTTCACTACAAATGTCACTTCCTCTGTCTCAAAATGAAGTTCCTGCTCATTATTCCTGCAATCAGTTTAATTTTTTCTCTGATTTTATATATAAAAAATTATCACTCAAATTTAATGACTTGCTTCAATAGAACTTTTAGTGCAGATTTAAAAATGTAATTTTAATTATTTATCCTCATTTATATATTAGCAAAGGGGGGTTAACTTTATCATGAGTGAAATATTCATAAACCGAAACAAGAACTTTATTTTGGGATAGAGATGGGAGATATATTTGTTAAGAAGGAAGCTAGTTCCTTTATTGTGTGCAAAAGTTTGATACACACCGCATTGTAGTCTCGTGAATGTAATACTTTCTTGTGGATATTTGCAGGAGCAATGTTGTAACGGAAGACATAAGCAAGCTATTTGTCAGAAAGCAAGACAACACTGCATCTTAGTTGATGCATGCAATTTACTAATAGCCCTTTGTCAGTTTATGAAACAGATCGATGGTTCCTGACATCCTGGTGTAGTGTTTATAATATATATTATTATCATCCTACAACTTGTAGGTAAAATTGTTATCATCCATCTGTTTGTGTTTATGAAATACAATAGTCCAACTGCTTTTGCATTATCAAAATCCCCTGTGCATAATTTTTTTCTACCAATGTAGTAGCTATTTTACATAGGAACAATGTAAATATGTATAACATGAACATATAAGGCTTTTGCTACTACCACTATCATCGAAATGGAAACAAGTTTCAATACTTGAACTAGTTAGGAAATATAAAATCATTAGAGCTTCAGGTCTAGTCCACAAATAGGGGAAGGTCTCGAACATAGAAGCACCTCAAAATGCCTCAACACATTAAATGAATCAAACATGAACATCAAAGGTTCAAAAAATGAGATCTGTAATTTATAATGATCTGCCCTTTTCATACTACAGACACTAGCTGGTAATTTTCACTATAAATAGTGGAAATGGAAAAAAGAATTACACATGAGCAAACTAGCGCCGAAGAAACTGCCTCCGCCTTCTTTAATGGGAGGGCTAGAGCAGTCTCAAATGTCAACGGCATCAAGGAAAAATAACCTCATAGCAAGAGTGAGTTAACCTGTGAAACTTCCTGTCTACATCTTGTATAATTTGGCTAGCAGACAATTTGCAGTTCTAAGTTCTAACCTAATCTTCAAGCTAGGTCTGGTCCAGATGGAAGTGTCTCATAACCATCATGGTTCTTCTCTGCTTCAGTGTCTTTGGTTAGTATAACAGGGATGCATTTCAGGAGAGCTCCGACAATCAAGCTTGCAGCCCCCATCAGTATGCTTGCTAACCATAGATTCCAACTCAATGGTACTGTATCTGCAACTGCCCCCAAGAACTCCACCATTATTACCTGAAATGCCACTGTCGAGACTATAATCCCCATGAATATCCCACTGCTAAACATTCCTCTGAAAATGTTTATCCTCTCCATGTCCCTGCTGTTTATTTCATTGAATACCTGATATTTTGAAGAATTCCAGAAGGAGAAAAGAATTTTAGAGCCTGTAGGTTTTAAGGGAGAGTTTGGCTGATAGTGTTTAAAATACTAAAATTATGTTTGATGGAGTCAAAGACTCACTATTTCTTGGCTTGGGAGTTGGGAATATGATGGAATAAAGCAAAATGGCTCACTAAATTGTCTTTGCTTCCCGCTTACGTAGCAGTAGTCAGTCCATGCAGTTTCTGATACTATTTTCATCATGGGTCATCCGAAAACAGCCTCCGACCCCTTGTAGTACAAGGGTAAGGCTGTGTACAATTGTACATCCGACTCTTCTTACCCCCACCGTTGGTGGGAGCCTTTACGGCACTGGGATAATGTTGTTGTTGTCGTAGTATTGGTGAAAGTGAAATTGCTGAATTATGAGAAAAATGTTTTTCATTATATTATAGATTTATAGAAAAATATACCACCTCTTCTTAATAAGAGCAACATTACCTATTTAATGTTTGCCGATGCACAACTTTGATCATTAATATATATAATTATCTATTAGTAAAAAATAAAATTCAGGTTTTGAAAATTTAGGATGGGACAAATATAATGATATTTTCTAAAAAATAATTTTTGAATGTATTAATAAATAAAATCTAGTCAAAGCAGAACATGTGAATAGTGTAAAATTTAACATGTTGCACTTATTTAAGAACGAAGGTAGTGTATGAAACAAAATCTAAAATGATCAACTTCAGCAACTCAAGCCTATTTTAATCCTAAAAGGGGTTACTAAATGATCACTTAGTGTTCAAAGAGTCGATAGTGGATTGAAAAGAAGGGTTGAAGAACAGGGAAACACACCTGACAGAACACAAAGGTGTTGAAAATCATGGTGTCAAGAGTTGCAGAAGAAACTGGACCATCTTCAAGGTTTAGGAGATGCTTTCCATTGAACTTGAGGACACCAAGGATAGCTAGCTGATATATGCTTTGACCTGAAATATTCCTCCACATGACCTTTGTGATGAAATTGACTGTCCTTCCAATGGGGGGCCGTTTCAGAAGTTCATCATTAGGAGGTTCAGTTGCTAGTGCCAAAGCTCCAAGAGTGTCCATTATCATATTCACCCATAGGAGCTGAACAGCAGTAAGGGGTGCTGAGCCTGAAAAAATTATTAAAAAACAAATCAGCTGATTGCGTGAGAGGACTGCTCTTTCCTTATGGTCAGTTTGGATTGAAGGTTTCGGATGGCAGGTCAATATCTTGATAAGTTTAATATTTGTGAATACAAATAAGAGGTGACTGAAGATTATATAATTCACCTATTTTGTTATTTCTTCCACTTTTTAAATATCTCATATAGATAAGGGCCTTTTGGGAGTTAGGTTTTGGGAGGGCTGAAGTCTTTTTATATAAAATGAAGGAATAAGCTTGTAATTCGTTTTTAGAAATGTTCTACTTATCCACATGTAGACTAAGCTCTTCCTCCGAGGTCACCCCAAACCTACCAAAACCTTTCATCCAATCAAATCCTTAAAACATCTCTGGAGTTCACTTACCTGAAATACAAGCGGAAACAAAGTTTGTTGTAAGAGCAACGACATTTACAGTAAGCTGGAACTGAACAAACTTTTGTATGTTAATATAGACAGAGCGGCCCCATTTTGCCACATTCAATATAGTTGTGAAGTTATCATCCATTATCACAACATCAGCATTTTCTTTGGCAACCTGCAATGCATATATTTTCAAAAATCATCAGGATAACAAATAGAATTTGGATTCACAAGAACTTGGCTGTAATACTTGCAGAGGGAAATGAGATGTAAATGTTTGAATCTACTAAACTTTGGAAATGAAAAGCATTTGATAAAATCAATTTTGATAAGATTGCTGTTTCTGCTTATTCTGCTACAAGCAGGTTAAGACAATTAATGCAACCAAACGAGGCATATATTGGACTGACCTCTGTTCCAGCAATGCCCATGGCTAATCCGATATCAGCTTCATGTAAAGCAGGAGCATCATTAGTCCCATCACCTGTCACTGCCACCACTTCTTGGAAATCCCTTCTCAACATAGTTACTAATTTGTGTTTGTCCAATGGCAGAGATCTAGCCATCACCTGCAACATAAAGAAAGTCCGAAGGGCATCAAAGATGCTTCTTAATACTTAGAGCCTTAAGCTATGAAATTATGAATTAAATAGTAGACTGTATGGTTAAAGGCTATTGTTTTGCTAAAATTGTGGTTGATCTGGATGAATTATAAAAAAACTATATATTTAAGAGTATATATTATGATAAAATTTCCTCCAAAAATCATTGATAAAAAAGAAAAAATATATATGTAAGAAAATAACAACTTTAGCTCTTCTTTTTTCACTCTTAACTCATTTAACACGTTTAAGGTTGATAGGCCAAAAAAGGGCTACCACATGGAAACTAAGTGACTCTCTAACTGCATGTTTTACTTTCCATCAATTACAGATGTATATATTCCCTACTTGACAAAATCAAATAATATTCTGCTTATTTTCCTTGAAAGTTGAAACAACCGAATTCCTTCCTAGGAGAGGCTATACATGGTTACCAGGGAGTGTAGGTTATTTCCTGGGAGACTAAATCCCAGGAAAGCACCAAATGTGCTCTAAAGTTTTACTAGTAGTTCTGATGTTGAACCTGCAACTTTGGCATTATATCCTTCATTTCCTGAGGGCTTTTGTCACGAAAGTCTGGACCTTCAATGGCTACACCATCTTCAGTCAGTATCCCACATTCTTTTGCTATGGCCTTAGCAGTATTGATATTATCACCTGTGACCATTCTCACTTTAATTCCAGCAGCCAAACAAGTCTGAACAGATTCTTTCACACCTTCCCTAACTGGATCCTTAATTCCAATAACTGCTACGAGAGTATACTCATTTTCCGGAATACTATCACCGCTTTCCACGTCTTGAAAAGCCAAACAAAGCGTTCTAAGAGCTTCACAAGCAAACATGTTTATAACATTCGATATATTATTCCTTTGTTCATCGGACAGAGTCACAGACTGGCCATCTTTGTCAAGAACTCTATTGCAGTTTTTTAATATGATTTCCGATGCACCCTTACAGAATGCCCGATGCCCACTACCCCCAGGAAGTGCCACAAGAACAGACATTTTCTTTTTTATTGAGTTGAAAGGCTCGACCTTCACAATCTTTGTGTCCTTGCTTTTCGAATGGAAATCTCCCTGAAGAGTCAAACCGAACTCTAACAGAGCTGTCTCTGTTGGAGAGCCAATTATGTTATTTTTTCCGTTTTTGTCCCTCACCACTTCTGCACCCGTGTTGTGAAATATGGAATGCAGAAGGATCGTCAAAGCCTTTTCTGAATACAAAGACTTCATTGTGTTTTTTGGGTCACTAATCTGATTTAGTGACTTGGTTTCTCCTGATACCCACAGCTTAGTCACTACCATGTGGTTTGTGGTTAATGTTCCAGTCTTGTCTGTGCAAATGCAGGTGACAGAACCCATCGTCTCACACGCGGAGAGATGTCTGACAAGTGCGCGGTCGCTCATCAGTTTCTTCATGGCAAAAGCTAAGCTTAATGTCACTGCCAATGGCAATCCTTCTGGAACAGCAACAACCAGTATAGTCACTGCGATGGCGAAGAAGTTCATGAGACTCAATGCATCCCTCCCTGACCATTTTGAGATTTCACCATGACTTGCCTTTACTGATATGTACCTTCCTGTGAGAACCAAGAATGTCAAGAGAGCAAAAGCCAACCCGATCTTCCCTATAATCGTGGCCACTCCATTTAGCTTAACTTGCAATGGAGTCTCATCTTCTCCGGTTTCGCTCAAGGTAACCATCAGCCTTCCCCATTCGGTTCTCATTCCGACAGCTGTCACAACCATTTTCCCCGACCCATCTTGCACTTTGGTCCCTGAGAGGAGAAACGGGTTTTTGTCTTCAATGTTTACCGGTTCGCTTTCCCCCGACAAGCTGGATTCGTCAACTGATAAGCTGCAGTGGCCTGATATGAACAGCCCGTCTGCAGGGACTTGATCTCCAATGGACAGGTGGACGATATCCCCCACAACTAAATCAAAGATTGAAACCTTTTCCCTTTTCCCGTCCCGGGTCACGTGAATTTTGATGTTTTTCTTTTCTTGATCCAAGTCCTTGAATTGCAGTGATTGTCTGTAGTCACTGATGGCAGTAACCAAAACCACTAAGAGAATGCACAGGAGAATCCCCACCCCATCGTAAACGCCCTTCGGCCACCCTTCCGTGGCAATCCCAATGGATATAGAGGCGACGGCACAAACCATGAGGATGATGAGTGTTAGATCCTGAAGGGCATCCCACAGGAACATCCAGAAAGGTCTGGAAGGTTTCTCTACAAATTTATTCAGCCCAAAAAGTTTTTGCCTTTTCGCAATCTCACACAAGGGTACACCATTTTCCAGTGAGAGAGATAACTTTTGTTCTAAACCTCTCACTCCTCCATGCAACTCCAAGCGTTTGGAATCATGAGAACGGACAATGGAAGCAAGTTCTTCTGGGTCAATCTGGAAACCGGCCTGCCTCACCTCTTCTGCAATGCTTGGCTGATCATATTGGCTGGCTGCTGTACTAACCAAAACACATCAAAGTGTTAGACAATTATAGTTCTGTATGACGTAATGGACTCATTTAATTGCACTATTATATTTTATTATGGTCTGCAAAAGTACATCTAAATTCAAAAGTGGGGGAAACGAGTGTCATATGAATTGCAGGAAAAACTGATACCATCAATGAAGTGCAACGCAGCCTTCTGTACATACAGAAGTATTCGCATCTTTTCCTGTTATTATAAAATATAAAAGGCAGTTAGAAAACCTCCAAAGGCACGAAAAGTTGTTCCTATAAAACAGTCTAGAGAAGTAGCCAAATTTACTAACTAAAAACATGAAGAATATAACAAGGGATAGTTCAATGAGTGACAGTATGAATGTACACATAAGACGATCAGAGGTGGGCAGGAATAATGAAAAGTTTCAATCTTCTATACAATAAATCCTTATAGCTAAAGGGTAAAGGTACTAAGAGTTTGCCCCAAGTCAGGTAAATATCATAAAACAAACTATCATAAAAAACATTGGGCCTCTACTCCCATGACATTGGTATTTTAGGAATTCCAAGTCCTAATATGATGTCACAGCTGACTCGATTCATAACCTTGATGCAAGTTTCTAATAATTTGTTGGGCCATGAGGAGAGAAAATATAAAAATTTGCACAATCCAAAGGTTGTCCCACAGTGAGGGGAGTTAAAGAGTTTGTTTCACAACAGCTAAATATGAAACAACAAACTATGAAACCTAAGTCTTAATAAGTGACCCGAAAGAAAAGTGTATATAATCTACTCCGAACATTGCCTAAGGTTTCACCGTAAATGTCATATCCGTAAATTATACGAGTAATATTCATCTGCCTTTATTCTTCTACCATATATACTCTCTCCGTCCTTTAAAACTTTGTCACACAGTTTTTACCTTGTGACAAAAAAGTCCTTTATGACAGAGATGCGTATCAATTACGCGTGGACCCGGACAAATACCCATTCTAATTAGACAAAATATCTATTTTCTGCGCGACAAAAAGGGTAGACTCTTATTATTCTTCATATCATATTCTTCTTCTTGACTTCTTGTGGTATTCTTGAACAGGCTGGGTTTATGTTTTCGTTTTTTGGACTTATTATTGTTCTGAACCTCTCACTTCCAGTCATAGTGCAAGAGACCATTTATATCAGATCCATTCAAGGTAGAAGTTTCTGGCTGCAACCCTCCTTTTTTCCCATAAAAAATCGTAAAATCATCTCCCAAGAATATAAAGAAAGGATTTTTACAGTTGTAGCTCGTTGATTGAGGTAAACCCATGCGTGTTAGCATGTGTTTGTGCGTATAAATATACATATACATATATGCATGTGTGCGTACTGTATTCTCTATGTATCAAAGAAAGAAAAAATAAAGTGGGAACAAAGTCAAAGGTAGTACAGACCTTGTGGTATAACAAGCAGCGAGGGGAGGAGGGCGGAGAAGGCTTCAGGCCAAAAAAGGAAGAAGAAGCTCATAGAATTAACCATTTATTAATTGGATGTATGTGTCATTAAGCAGCTTTTGACTGATATACCAAATGCGGCATGAATATTCCGAGCGGAAGCCCTGACTTGAATGTATATATACAAGTAAATTAAATTAATTAATTAATGCAACTTCGACATGGTTGAATTGTAACCGTACCTCAGGACGTACGGAGGACAAACTCACAAACGTTAGACACGGGAGATAAATTCCCAATGTTGAAGGAATACATAGTTCATTAACAAGTGAGTATTACCTTGATTTTACTTTGATTTTTTAATGTTTGCTACATTAGACTTCAACATACTCCATATTTAATAGAAGAATAATAGATATAATGAATAGTGTAAAATTAAACCTAAAAAATAATATAAGAAAGTATGAAAGAGTATGAAAAAGTAGGAGCATTTGAGTATTTTAAAAAAGAAAACTTATCAAAAGACAAAATGTAGTAAGATTAAAAAAACTACTATACTCAAAAAAGAAAAATATAGCAGACAAAAGAATAAGGAGAGAGTATATATGTTCGCGAATAGAATGGTATTTCACTCAAACATATATTCATGAGCACATCACTATATTGTGTCAATGGTATGGTGGTTCGGTACGATATACAAGATATTTTATCTCATACTTTTGTCATATTGAAACTTTCCATATACGGAGTATAAGAAACATATTTGGCTAAAGGGTCAAATAGACCCTCGAACTAACTAAAAAAGTGTAATTCACCCATTTTATAGGAGGCTCTGTTCGGCCGTCACCAATTGGGGCGGTTCTTGATTGATTTTTTTGATGAAATATTTTGAACATCTTCTTCATTAAGTCTAGTTTACGCATACCAAATTTCAACTAAAAGTTCAATCGGGAAGACGGGAAGGTTGTCAAGTGAATTTTTGAAGATAACTGAGTAGTTGAACAACGCAGTACATTTCAGAAAATCATTTGACTGCTTTCCCAATTGAATTTTTATCTGAAATTTGGTATGGGTAAACTAGACTTAATGAAGAAGATGTTCAAAAAATTTCATCAAAAAATTCTATCGAAAACCGTCCCAATTAGCGACGGTCGGACAAAGCTTCCTATATAAGGGGTGAATTACACTTTTTTAGTTAGTTCGAGGGCCTATTTGACCCTTTACCCAACATATTTTTAGCACAAAAATTTTGGAATACCATATTTCAGTAACTGAAATTTTGGTATGATTAAGGTGCGACATTGGTAAAACTTATGTCATACTTGAATTTTAATATAACAAAGTACTATATACCAAATGCAATATACAAAAAGGGTGTTATTAATTACAGAGTATATAATAAATCATTGTTGAGGTTCATTCGGATGCTTGGAAACATGCTAATAACACAACGTTAAGATGTATTTGGTTTGTATTAAGGGAGAACTCTTACAATACATTCAAAAATTTGCAAATTTTCCGCCAATATTCGATACGGCTCAGCCCAATCCTTGAGGGTATTGTAAGGGAGGGGACCACTCATCCCATGCATCGGGCCAAATGGCGGTTCAAGGGCCGATTGACCACTCATCCGATGCATTGGTGATCACTTCGAACCTCAATGTGTATCGCTTGCCCTACAATTGGACACTCGGTCGATCCTGGGCCCTGGTGTGCATGGTGGAGTCCACTTACTTGGCCATTGTTATGATGTTGGCAGTCTCTTTGTGGCCATTCGGTCTTCTCCCTTTGGTATTCGAGAAGTAAGTTGAGGTATGACCTAATGATATTTGACCGGGTTGATGTTCAATTGACCCAATATCCTATTCTAACACAAATCCTCTACATCTGATGTTTTAAACAAGTGTCGAGCAAGAGGCATAAGAAAGTACACACTCAACCATTGCATGTTAGTGCTAGAGGTCTGCCGCACCAAAACGTCTCAGTGTCTAACATATGTTTGTGTGGCTCAAGATAACGGTTATGATGTCGTCGTTTTGCCATTGGTTGACGATTGCCACTCTATTTAAAGAGTCATACATTATTCCTTCTATGGAGTCACATGACCTATGTGACATCACCATTACCACACATTTTTTAGTGAAAACCACCTAAAAATTGTGTGATAATGACGATGTCGTATGACTCCATAGATGAGTCATATATGACTCCTCGAAACCTCTTTTCCTGCTTGTGGGATCTTGGCCACATTGAGTCAGACGTGAGAGGCTAACCTTAGTCAAGTAAGAATGTAAGATCAAGTCGACCGATCGATCCTAACCATTTCTTTTCAACTTGTTTGAGGCCCTCCCCAAACTGATCAACGAGAGATGGATCCCGAGGTTCTTCGGCAAGTGAGCGCCTCCCTTCTAGTTACTTTATCACTCTTGGCACAACTTGGTAAGACTCTTGACATATCGGGCTTCTTCGTGTCACATATTTTGTCACTCTTGGGCCGAGTGTGATGGACTTCCAGGTCCAAATATCCAATATCATTAATTTAAAATTGTCTAAATTAAAAATTCTCCACCCACTTTCTCAACCTAATCGGCAACTTATCTGAAAATGTAAAAGCATCTCTGACTTCCTCTTCCAAATCGAGGTGCAATTCAAGACGGATCCAGGAAAGTCGGGGGTGAAAATATTTTTTGGGGGTTCAAAATATTTTTTTGGAGGGAGAAAATTATTTTTCATATATATATATACACTAAAAAAATTCTTGTTGGGGGGGGCGGTAACCCCTCTAGATCTGTACTACGGTCCGCCCCTGGTAATTCTCCATTAGGAGAGATAGAGTGAGATGGGGAAATGGTGGGGTACGGAGAAAGAAAAGATTGAATTTAATTATTATTTTTGAGGAGAGAGTTAGAATGAAAAAGAAATGAAAAGAGTAAATGGAGAGAAGGAAATAGAGAAGAGAATGACTCCTATTCTTCCTACTTACGTGTCAGGCTTTTTAATTCTCTAAATATAAATGATCAAGTCCTTATTAGAAGTATTTTTTAATTTAATGCTCTATATTGTAATCTCTACTGTTTCAATTTATTTGGCATTTAACCAACCAAGTGTAATTTTATTTTTTGCACATGAATTGAATACATATTGATGATAAAATTTATGAATTTAATGTTATACACTTATTGAATGTGATTATGTGAAATGTGTTAATTTGGTTGAGATAAAATTATATTGTACGGAGTAAATATGTAATTAGGAAGAAAATAGCAACACCCTAATTGGTAATTTTTCTTTTATGATGCACGTTAATTTTTGAGCCATTCACTTCTCGTGTGGTTTTCCATTACATTCCTCTTTATATCTTCAACAATGTTAATGCTGAAATGAATTAGGCTTTTCCGTTAATTTGTCCCACTATGCACCCTCAAATTATCCTACCTGATTTGGATTGACAAAACATCTACAGTTTTGTAAATATAAGATATTAAATCAACACAAATGATCAGGTCAGGACCTCGGCCTCCGTCCGAACACCGCCGTTCGGGGCGGTTTTCGGTCGAAAGTTTTTATGAAATTTTTATGGTATGTTCTTCATTAAGTATAGTTATCCACAAAAAGTTTCAGCTCAAAATTCGATCGGGAAGGCCTTCAAATGATTTTTTGAAGTTGACCGTATTTTTCAATGTATAATTTGGCACAGTCAACTTCAAAAAATAAATTGAAGGTCTTCCTGATCGAATTTTGAGCTGAAATTTGGTACGAATAAACTAGAATTGATGAAGAACATACCATAAAAATTTATCAAAAAATTTCACCTAATTTTTTGTGATCATAAAATTAATTCACCTCGCATTGTCCGTTACCGCAATGACAACGACCGTAACTTAAAAGCCCGAGGCAGAGCACATACCTGCATTTGGCGGCGATCGCGTTGGGCGCGAGCGCGCTTGGCAAGATCGGCGACCATGCGGAACCTGCGTCGGGGGTTCTTGACAAGCCAAACAGCGGACCGCCATCTCCTCTGCGCTTCCTCCGATGGCCTCTTTGCGTCTACGTCGAAATTCTGTCTCAAGTACGTCTCCATTAATTACGTTAAGTATAAATTATATGCCGTGGTACCAATTAAGATGTCCGGCCAGCGAGATAAGAATCAAAACTAGAGCAGTATGCAAGTGATCGTTTGGAGATCTGTATAAACGTACATACTTAATCAGCTTTGTTTGGTTTGAATCAGTAAAACTAACTTATTAAAGAAGAATATGTGTGTGGCTAGTGTATAATGCAGCTGGTTATTTGCATCCGCAAAATCAGCCGAGGAAATTAAACAGATAAATTACTACTCCAAATAAAGTGATAATTTGCATTGTTATAGAAAAAGTAATAAAAAAAGAGCATCGGTATTGAACCAAAAAGATGCAATGAAAAATTGTTTAGTGATAAATTTTGTAGGACCTAAACTTGCACTCTTACATACACTTTTAGTTAGTTGTACATTTTTAATTCCACGTATATCTACTTTAATTCGTACTAATAAAATACAGTATCTTTCGATTGAAATTGATTTCTGCTTAATTTGCTATTAGTTCCAATCATTTAAAATTGTCATTTTCAGATTTTGCCCCTAACTTCTAATTTTCCTATTTTATTTTGTTTTTGTTTCAAACATATTCCTTTTTAAGTTACAAAAGATAGGATAGTTAGAAGTCGTTCTCTTCACCTGATCTGAATGTTTCTTATCTGAATTTTTTAAGTTTTGATCCGATCTGATCTGAATTTTTCTGATCTGATCTGAATCTTTCTGATCTGATCTGACCTGATCTAAATCTTTTTTATCTGATCTCAATTTTTCTGATCTGGTGTGATCTGATCTGAATCCTTCTGATATGATCTGATTTGATTTGAATATTTCTAGAATTATAATTATAATTATTATTACTCCGTATAATTATAATAATAATTGTTATTATAAAAATAATTATAGTTATAATAATAATAACAATGATGATGATGATAATGATAATAATAATAATAGTAATAATAATAATAATAATAATAATAAAATGATAATAGTAATGATATTAATAAGGATTAATTATCAAAATAGGACTAAAAGTCACCCACTTTGCACAAATAGGACAAAAAAAATAAACTATGTTTGCATAGGACTAATTATGTGTGCCTTGGACAAATATACCCCTATAGCTATTGAAAAGTTTTAATTCATAATAAAATAATAAAAAATAATAAAAATTCGTAAAAAATACTAAAAAAATAAATAAAAATATTTAGAAAACAATTATTTATTTATTTATTTATTTTCAAAGAAAATTTAAAAAAAAAATTAAAAACTCAAAAAAAAAATTACCAGCGCGTCTACCACCTCTGCACCACCACCTCCAATCAGCAGGGGAAAAAATGCCAAGTTCATTACGAATGCCATATTTATGGCAGAAAACAGTGAAAATGTTGGCATTCTCAAAGAGAAATATGCCATATTTTTTGGCATTTTCAGAAAAAAATTGGCAGTTTTAGGAAAAATTGCATTTTTTTCACCGGACGGAGATGGTGGTGCAGGGAGGTAGCACAGGCGGTGGGAAAGGCATCCATATTTTTTAATTTTTTTTTATGGAGTTTTACCATTTTTTATTAATTTTTTTAAAAAAAATTAAAATGATGATGATGATGATGATAATAATAATAATAATAACCATAATAACAATAAGAAGGAGGAGGAGGATAATACCAAATTTCAGCTAAAAATTCAATCGGGAACAGTGGAGGACCTGGGGAGGGGCCTTGGGGGGCAAGTGTCCCCGCTTTCGGCCAATAATTTCACTACTAGAGTAAAATCAGTGCCCCCGCTTCCGGCCAAGAATTTCACTACTAGTGTGCCCCTACTTTGACAAATATCTGGGTCCGTCACTGATCGGGAAGGCAGTCAAATAATTTTTTGAAGATAATTACTTGACTTTAGAGAAATTTTTTTAGCATTTTGCATTTAGCTAAAAAAATTAATAAAAATATTTCGAAAACAATAATTTATTTATTTATTTATTTTCAAAGAAAATTTAAAAAAGAAATTAAAAAAATTAAAAACTCAAAAAAAAATTACCAGCGCGTCTACCACCTCTGCACCACCACCTCCAATCAGCAGGGGAAAAAATGCCAAGTTCATTACGAATGCCATATTTATGGCAGAAAACAATGAAAATGTTGGCATTCTCAAAGAGAAATATGCCATGTTTTTTAGCATTTTCAGAAAAAAATTGGCAGTTTTTAGGAAAAATTGCATTTTTTTCACCGGACGGAGATGGTGGTGCAGGGAGGTAGCACAGGCGGTGGGAAAGGCATCCATATTTTTTTAAATTTTTTTATGGAGTTTTACCATTTTTTATTAATTTTTTTTAAACAAATTAAAATGATGATGATGATGATGATGATGATGATGATGATGATGATGATGATGATGATAATAATAATAACCATAATAACAAGGAGGAGGAGGATAATACCAAATTTCAGCTAAAAATTCAATCGGGAACAGTGGAGGACCTGGGGAGGGGCCTTGGGGGGCAAGTGTCCCCGCTTTCGGCCAATAATTTCACTACTAGAGTAAAATCAGTGCCCCCGCTTCCGGCCAAGAATTTCACTACTAGTGTGCCCCTACTTTGACAAATATCTGGGTCCGTCACTGATCGGGAAGGCAGTCAAATAATTTTTTGAAGATAATTGCGCAGTTAAACAACGCAGTATATTTCAGAAAATCATTTGACTGCCTTCCCGGTTGAATTTTTTTCTGAAATTTTGTATGGGTAAAGTAGACGTAATGAAGAAGATGATCAAAAAGTATCATCAAAAAATTTCATCGGGAACCGCCCCAAATAGCGACGGCCGGACAGCGCCTCCTATATAAGGGGTGATTTAATTTGCATTTTTTAAGTTAGTTTGAGGGCCTATTTGACCCTTTAGCCAAAACTTGATTATTATTATGAAACCTACATGTTTTTATATGTAGAAAAGTAGTTTTATGGTCATGAATTATGTGTCAGGTCTTCTTTAAAGATGATGCATTTGAACAAATTGGAATTGAACAATTGCACTGGTCTAATGCAAACGATGCACTTCTGCAAGAAAAAGCTCTATGGATGGTTTAGTGCGCAATGTATAAGAAGGTTACTTGAACCTCTTTGATTATTTGAAAATTTGAATGCTTATGTATGTTGGTTTTGGTACATTAACAGGTTAGACGTTAACCGGACTGGACAATTGGCCGGGTGGCCGGTTTCCGGCTCAAACCGCCTGGTCCGGTCCGGTTCTTTAAAATAGGTTTTAGATTTATGCATGTGACATGTTGAACATTGCGATTTACATGCATATTTCTTTCTTTCGTTTTGGACTATGACTTCAGATTACAAAGAGTGAAAAAATACATATTTTAATGCATGCTCCAGCTTTTTTTTATTGCTTTTTTGTGTATTATAAACCACATTTGCTTAGGCACCTATTATACACCAAAGAGGCCATGCTTTCAAGTTTCGAAAGCTGGTGTACAAGTCAAGGACCTAAAGAAATCCATTGATGATTTGAAGGGAGAGTGAAAAGTTGGAGGAATAAAATGGCTTTAACTTGTGAGCCTTTTTTGAGCATATCGTTACTATTTCTAGCAAGTGTGGCTTATCTTTAAAATACTATTAAAGTTGTTAACTATTGCACACATATGTTGCACGGATACGGATACGTCGTCGATACGCGAATACGGGTATGGCGATACGGCAATTTCAAAAATTATAGGAGACGGGTACGGGGTATATTTATAAATAATAAAAATATAGAGTATAATTTGCAAATATATATAATTCAGAGGTTCATAAATAAAATAATAATAGTACAAAAAATTAACTAATATGATAAAATTTCAGGCTAAAAAAACTAAAGTACTGATATTTCGATTTAAATTCACATAATACTTTTTGTTCTATATTTGCATTTACATCTAAGTCTTGTTTCAATTAAAACTCATCAAGCGACAAAATGACAAATTATAGTATTCCATTATTTTCATTACCCCTGAAATCATTTTTATCAATGTTCCACATCTTGTGGTCGCTTGGGCGGATACTAAATTTTCGTCATGTCGTGTATGAAATGAGGGCTATATGGTCAGATACGCGTATTGGTTCACGGATACAGGTATCAGAAGTATCGGTATTATTAAAAATAAGCCCGATACTTTTATTAAATTATGGATACGGCCGGACCAAATAATCAACAAAGAAAGGCACAAATAATCAGCACGGTGCCTCAACACTCAACAAAGAATTGAAACAATCACATCACATTGGAGACCTTTTGAACATGGTCACCTGATCTAATTTTCAAGGCTGTTTTAATTTTTGTTGTTATATAAGGCTCATTTTGTAATTTGGTTTTGCCAACAACTATTATTAGATCAATATTAAAAGTAGAACATAGATAAGCAGATTTACTCTGAAGGCTTGATGTTATGTTATTGTTTTTGTTATATCTATCCTGATGATAGAGAAGCTATTGTACAAGCTTACCAAAAGTACTTTCCAATAAGCACGAGTAGCCATATTTTTCCTCTTATATTATGTTAAACTTAACAAAAACATTCCCATCATTTCTAATGATTTTTTTAGTTATTCATTTATGTTTTTCTTTTTGAAAGATAGCATTTAGCTACTTTTACTGTGATGAGTAATATGGTTAGTTTTTAAGTGAATGGTGAATAATATTACTTTATGTTTTAGATTATGGCGCGAAAGAAGTCAAGAGGTTTTGTTTGTGCACATATATGGTTACTCTATCTCGATCTCTTGAAGAATTTGAGGACTGGTCTGATTGAAATTCAATCCTTCAAGTCTAAGTTAAGGGACGTAGGAGGCATTTCTACTTCAAAATACCAAGTGTTCAC